TTTTATATTGTGTTCTAATCTTTATTCTAGTTCTTTTTACGTTTTCTCTTTGTTTTGCTTTTTTTGTTTTCCTTTGCTGTTGCTGCAGCTGGCACACTTTTCCGACCATCACCATAGAATTCTTGTGACTTGTACTGAATCCCCTCTTTATGCACAAATGCATCAGCTTCGTTTGCCCTTTGCCTTTTATATTTCTTTCTTCGTTCCTTAACAGCTGATTTCTCTTTGTACTCTGCTGTGTCTATTCTTTTCTTATCCACTTTCTTCCATTCATTCACCATTTTCTCATCAACATCCAACCCTATCTTTGGCAGCAATTGCGAGTATGTAATTTCCATTCCACTGTTGAACAACAAACAGCCAAGACTAACAGCTAAGCTTGTTTCGCGGGGAGATGTGTACTGCTCTTTAGGGGCAAGCCCCCAAATAACATGATGTAAAGACTCATTTGGGTTTTGAGTTGCACATCTTTCACAACCAGCAAGAAAGTTGGCATCACCCAAACGATCGAAAACTGGTTTGATCACTTCGATAATGGCAGGGGGGGAACGGACTCTTTACAGGTTTGTGGAATGTTGTATTATTGGCGACATCCCTTTGGTATGAGCACCACGAATCCTTCCCAACTGGACAGAAGGTATGCTGGGGGTTCTCCTCGGTACTGGCATAATGATACATTATAGCTTTGGTAGCCTTAGCCGTTGCCTTTGAATCGCCTTTATTTTGGCGAATACATAGGCTGTAAAAACTTTGGATAGCATCGATCCGGGCTATGGTCAATCTACCAGCACCACTCAAACCCTTCCCATTATGCATGTTTTTTTCCTTATAAATGAAAATAGAATAAATATATAAATGTTGAAACTATTTCTTTATGACGTTACGTGCACTGAGATTAGGCTATTCAAGACGAGTTAACTTTTTATTTATACGACATATGTAGTGTCGTTTGCAATCAACCGTAAAACGCACACTATTTTTCGCGTTTGTTTATTTTGAAACATACATGTTTGGTGGGTAAAACATGCATGTTTGATCTATGAAATGACTCAGTACATCTTACGATTTGAGAAACTGCAGTTCATTTCAAAGTTCAAACTGTATCGTTAGTGCTGTCATAAAAGTGCATGCCTGATCTCAACATCGGCATATGTGCATGTTTCAAACGAAAACAGAATATGCGCGTTTTTAGGTTGACAGTATAAGTGTGCAATATTTACCTTTATAGTCACGGACAGACAAGTGATCTCAAATTTGTTCCCATTCTTTTGGTTACATGAGCTATACAATCAACTTTTGGAATAAATATTGCTTCTCCATATGGTCTCTCTATGCAAACTCCATTGTAGGAGGAGGAATCGCCATCACCAATAAATGAAATGTACCATAACTTCCGCTTCTCAATTGATCTCCTATATAGTTGCAATACCCCTGATGATTCCATAGCCTAAAATTATATTGGGCAAAACATTTAATCATAAAGCTAGCAGATTTTAAGTACATATATATATATATAGTTACAAGTAATGTATACTATAATAAAAGTAGAATTTCTGTACCTGCGCACTCCCCTCGTGATTGAGCAGACAATTCGGCTCGTGGGCGATATACCAAGATAGGTAATCTAATCGACCTAATTCTCCCCTTGCTCTCTTTCCTTCTATTTCTTTACACTGTTTACATTCTCTCGTCAAGTACACCACGTCCAAAACTTTCCCCGTGACTTCCGAGACAGCAGCAACCAGACCATCTCGTGCGGACCAACCTCGCGAACTCCATGAACAGTCAAAACTCGCACCGACATCAACAACTTTTTCTACCAATTCCTGGTCTGTACAATCTGCAACTTCACCTACTGTTCTTTTAAGTTGTTTCAGTTGCAAGGCTGCCTGGTTGAAATCAATCTCAGTTAGGTCTTTTACTTTCTCTTCAATGAGTGTTGTATGTTTATCCCACGTGTAGACCGGTGACAAACCGAGAAAACTAAAACATTTTTGCGCTGCAGATCGTCCTTTCCCGATAGCCCGAAAACCAACAACTGAAGCACGGTTAACATCATATATTTTATCGGACTTGGGCGAAATTGGAAAAGACTGGTTCGACTCTCGCGACACACAACATTCATTCGTACAACGATAGTTCCATTTGGCCCCAAGACCTTGTTTCGATCCTACCTTTTCCACAATATGTAGGGAACTGTAGCAAAGTTTGCAAACAGCAGAAGTTTCCAGCATTTGCCCCAAACTGTCAACGTTAACAATATAGTTCCCTGTGGGTTTCAAAAAGACAGAACATTCGTCGTGGTCTTCGTCGTCGTCACTGCTATTAAAAGGTGATTCAGAACTATAGATGATTCTGTGGCGCTGCTATTTTCAAGAAACGATTTCATGCTTTCTTCTAGCTTCCTCTTACTTGCGCTCGGTGTTACTGTGTCGTTTGTCGCTGAAGAACAAGCTTTGGAATCGTCCAATTGTTCTGGCCACTGTTGTTCTTGAGAAAACCATGAACCTTTGTCACTATCCGCCAGCACTTGTTTCTCGTTCGAGTCAAATTTCTTTCGCTGAGAAGAACTTTTCCTTTTTCGCGATCGAGAAGAGCAAAATGGGCTCTTATTTTTTCTCTGATCCTTTACTTTCAAAGGCATGATGACCGCGTACTTATACCACTTATGACTCAAGAATAATCACTTTATATAGCTCGCTCCAGAGAGAAAAATTTGCTGTGTTACTGTTGTACAAACTACAAAGTTATATAATCCTGATTTAACCTTACACCAAAGGTCCTTACACCTAACACAAGCCACTTCACAATATGGACACACATCCGGTATTGATTATCACATCTATCCACACATTGTCAATTACAATTACAAGTTTCGCGGCAAAAATATTAGTGGTTATAACATTTTTAGTTACATCTCGGTCGCATTTTAATATTTTCGAAAAAAACTTTCGGCAATCGAGAGATCTTCTGCCCCTCGACATAAATAAATAAAAATGTAAAAAATGATGAAATCAGTGCTTTCATCATATAATGTAACCTTAACTATAAAGTTTAGTATTATAATAATATTGTTGCTTTCGTAATATAGCGTGTATTCTATTTATGGCACACTCATCAGTACGTATTAAACAACGATAATATATTGTACATTATGTTGGCGTGCAACTATTTAGTAATTTTAATCAAGTTTAAAACGATCAATTGTAAAGGCTTTCCAAAAGCTTAAAAAAATTACAAGGCGGTGTTTGTATTCAAATATAAGAACTTATAAACACTATTTTATATTTATATTAATTGCTGATATAAATTTATAAAAACTCCGCGAGTAACGCTGAACGTGTTTCCGGTTATCACAAAGGTAAACAATAGAGCTATTTATAGCCATAATTTATGAATTTCGCACTCTTTCATATTCCTTTTGCCGACAAGTTTTATTGCGAATAACATAACTTTAAGTATTCTACTTTAACCCTAAAAGTGTTTTAGACACCAGGTAGGTTGCACTTTTGAGAATTTTTAGTTTGAATTTTGTACCTAATCATTAGTTGTTTGGCGAACGAAAATACCGACATCCTTGGATGGAGACTAGTAGGCTTAAAATAAGATGTACAGTCAAATTCTTTCAACATTCTAAAAGAGGAAGAATATGTCTCAATACGTTGAAAAAAGTTTTTAATTTGACGGGAAACTTTCCAAGTTATGATGCACAATTTAACACACATTTGACCGCCGTTTTCGGGGTCAAATTTCAGTGTCGCTGACGTCCAGACAAAAATTCGTCATAACTCGAAAAAAAAGAAAAATTTGGAAATTCTAATATTAGTTTAATACCTTTTAGGACAAAGGTATTTCATGGTAAAAATATAAATGAAATCTAATTTTCAACCTGAAACGCTCTGCATGGTTCTTAGTGAGACAGCCACTTAAACCTTTAAGTGGCAATACACCCAGATGCGCCCTACTTTGTTAGTTTACTTTGTCTAACGCCAGACAATTTTACTCGTCAGGGGGAGAGTGCATGCTGCCACTCAATGGGTCGATGAACATGCCAAATGATCCTTGACCGTGGTAGTGCATTTTTGCACTTGCTGAATGATATCGCAACCAAGGATTGTTTCAAAGGAAGAGCCCTGAGATCATGCTGTGTAGCAATTGGAATCTCGCATAAAGCAGGCAAGACCTTTACTCAGAAACCAGGATTAATATTAATTTCCCACATAAACACTTGAAAAGCGGACTGTCCCATCTTCCATATGCAGGACAAAAAACATGCAGCCTGGACTTTGACTGTTAAACAACCGAATCAGCATGATAAACAGTGTGGTGATTTTTGCTTAGCCCAAACCAAAGCCAGTTTTCTAGAATTAATTTGCAGAATCCTAAGAATTGGACCTCTAACTTGAAGAGCTACCTGTGCTAACTAAGTCAACAATAACTGTGCATGCATGGGCAACACTTGAATTGAAGTGACTAGAGCAAATCTTCAAAGGATAATAGACAGATCAGATTTGACTTCCACTACTGCTATTATTAACTAACCAGATAAGTTTCATTTACCCAATCAAACAATCGGATGCAACTGCTAGATCAAGTAGTTGTAGTGGAAGTCAAATTTGAACCTTTCTATATGGATTTCATAGAGACCAGTCATTAGTTGCTGATACATTATTATAACTTGTATAATCAAAAGCTACTATATATTCATTTATGATGTTAAAAATTGATATAATTATCTATAAAGTGAGAATAATTTTAAAAATATTCATAACATGAAAGTGATTCATGCAGGTGATTGAATAAACAATGTAATGTGCATTCTGAATCTCTACAAATTCCTTGACATTATTTTTCCAGTACAGTGTAAAATTATATAAATGTGACATTAGGTTGCATGTCCACCAGTGTGTTCAAATACCATCCAGTGATCTGGTCTTGTTCATTGTTACTTGCATCTTGCTTAATTTAACTGTTTTTTCCCCATTTCTTGTACCCATAAATTTCTTTTCAATAATCTAGAAAACTTCACAATCATTCAATAAATTTAATTTAAAAATTTGGTGAAAGGTAAGGGGTCAATAGATGAAAAATCATTTCTTCTTGTTCATGCATATGGCCCCACCCATTTCTGTCAGGTGTTAGAGTAGAAATTTATTGAAGCCTTGAGAAAATAATTGTCGCAACAAGTTTACAAGCCACACTGCAGAGCTGGGCCATTTTTTTGAAAGGTCTCAAGGGCACAAAAGGTATAAATGTAGGGGCAAGGGAACAAAATAATGACATTTTGAGATTTAGGGACAGGTTTTACGATGGGGTGCTAAACCTTTTCGCTAAAAAATCCCTGACCAGCTACAGTTGTCATGGATATTAAAAATACTCATTAACTCACTAACATTAAATAATGCTGAATAAATGCTGAAACTGGTGTTTAACTATTAAAATATCCTATGACCTTAAGGTTCATCAGATTTTGGTTGACCTATGACCTTGAGGTTCATCAGATTTTAGCCTGCGAACAGGCTCACTGGGAGAAAGGTGAGCCTGCACGGTTTATTCAATCATCCCCTTTTCACATCTGCTAAACGCGAACCAATCAGCGTCGACTGCGATAAATAAACTGTCAACTGTCAAATTGACGCAGGCCGTATGTGCAACGAATAAATGTATATATAAACAATAATACGAAGCATTACTGTAGTAGCAAGCCGCACAATATATTAAATATAGAATTCTCTAGATAATAGATTTGTACTTTTACTACCTGTGACTGAAAGAACAAAGTTCTGAATATTTGAAGCTATTAAAATACGGAAGCCGTATAGACAGTATCGTATGTCAAATGATAATTTTAAACAAAACCAGCATTGTTCAGGAAGTTAATAATGTGCAGTGAAATTATTAAACAATTTACAAAATTGTCAGCAGTTTATAGAGTAAATAGTACAACGTTTAAATTATTAGTACAACGACATTCGAACGATATATATTTAATATTTAAATGATTCCAGCGGCAGCGAAGATCAACAATATAATTATTCGTACATATATATATATATATATATATATATATATATATATATATATATATATATATATATATATATATATATATATATATATATATATATATATATATATATATATATATATATATATATATATATATATATAGCTTAAGATTTTGGTTTACGAAACACAAACAGTGCTCAATACCATATAGATAGAGCGTAATATAGTTTTTCGTTTTACCTCAAAAAAACCACAACAGTCCGTTTCATCCGTATAGACCACCTGATGATTCCTATACGGATGAAACGGACTGTTGTGGGTTTTTTGAGGTAAAACGAAAAACTATATATATATATATATATATATATATATATATATATATATATATATATATATATATATATATATATATATATATATATATATATAGTGAAATGTTGCTGATAACAAGATACAAGTGTTGTATATAGAAAAGATTTCAATGTGCAACCAAAAGAGACATTTATAACGTAAAATAAAATAAAAGCCACTCAAATTTTGCACAAACGTTTTCGCTTTAATGTTAGCTCCTCAGGTGCATATTTACAATGAGTGGAATTTGGTTTATCTATTATCTACGTTCTATGATATCATATTATAATAACTATGTTAGGAATGCATATATTTACATGGTGTGAAGTCACCCGTTAAAAACATTCTATTGATCTAAATGTAAGCATAAACTTAATGGTTTTTTAATTAGCGTTCAGATCCGGATTCAGTATATTGATAAGTTCTATTTCTTTCATCTCCCTAAAAGTCTGTCCGTGTTAATGCATTGATATATAGGCATTATTTTGAAAATTCCGTTGTTACACATATTTAAGTGTTCGCTTACTTTTAGATGTCTATACTCTTCGTGTCGAATTTGTTCCTTGTGCAATGTCACTCTTTTTCGTAAGTTTTCTGTCTGGCCGACGTAGAAGCTGTCGCATTTTGAGCAAATGATCACGTAAATGACATATCTCGCTTTGCAGTTCATCGTTGAATTGACTTTCCCGGTTTTTCCGCTCTTTAATGTAACAGACTTTCCTGTGATTAAAACATCGCATGTTCCACATCGCTTTTCCTCGCATTTTGTTACACAGTGTTCTCTGTCCTCTGAATTGAATTGTGCTTTTGTCAAGTATCGCTTCAAGTTCTTCGGTTGGCGTTTGCTTACAATGAGTTTTGTTCTGTCTAATACTCGTTTCATTTTCTCGGAATTGTTTATAATATATATATATATATATATATATATATATATATATATATATATATATATATATATATATATATATATATATATATATATATATATATATATATATATAACCAACAATGAGATGATGGATGTGGGACACATAAATTATATATAGGACAAGAATGCCATTCAACCTAATACGCATGATCTCTGCATGTCACAGATTTAAATCAGCGCAAAGGCCTATATAGGCAATGACAATTGTGCCCCAAAGCTCACTACCAGCAACTGCGGACAGCTGTTTCGCCCTTTTGGGGCTCATCAGCGCAGTGTAGCTGATAGTGAGCTTTTCATCCGAAAAGTATTTATATAACCAACAATGAGATGATGGATGTGGGACACATAAATTATATATAGGACAAGAATGCCATTCAACCTAATACGCATGATCTCTGCATGTCACAGATTTAAATCAGCGCAAAGGCCTATTTAGATAGATTTATTAAAAAGACCGATTTAGCAGATATTTACAAGATTAAAAGGATTAAAATACAAAATACAATCAGATTAAGAATTATTATAGTAATAATTACATGGTTAGGCTAATTATATTAAGTTTTACTAGTGTTAAAAGCTTTACTTCCAGCAATTATGAAACTGTTTGCATATCTATTAGTTCTACACCTAGGTATTGATAGTTTGTTATTACCACCCCGAAGGGAATATTCTGTATCCCGATTGGAAGGGACAAGGGAATGTAACTTGTGTGCTTCGTCAGTACGCATTCATTCAAAAAATCTCTTACAGATCGTCTCTCTCCGTATGAATAATGACACCACACCGGCGCGGTCCATTGCAATATCATAACAACAATCTGGGAAGATTATTCGTAGAGCTCTGCGTTGGATCCTTTCGATCTGATCACTTAAATACTGGGGCAAACTGTGATGCCATACTTCGCACGAGTATTCTAAAATTGGTCTAATGCATGTATTAAACACTCGCACTAACTTGCTTGATGGAATGGAAGGTCTCTTTAATAATCGTAGAGCATGCAGACGCTTCGCAGCTTTCTTACATATGAAATCAACATCAAGAACCCACTTGAGGTCTTCGGAGATGATTAATCCGAGTAATTTAGCATGTCACACGACAGAAATGTTACAGCCATCAATGGTAAGTGGAGGAAGTGCTTCGGTATCATAAGTCGAAAAACATACTCGAATTTCCTTGGTTTTAGTGGGATTCAATTTCATATTGCTTTTGGCCACCCAACTGGAGCATTCACTAATTTGTGCCGGTAAGACTGAAGCAGACGATTGGGCGCTCGTAATTATTTCCCATAAAGTAGTGTCGTCTACGAATTTAACAGAATCGTCAGAGACCTTCAGGTCGTTCACCATAATTAAAAAGAGCAAGGGGCCAAGTTTGGTTCCCTGTGGGACACCACCATTGATTGGCCTCCAACAAGAATAATTCGGGCCGATTCTTGTACGCTGTCTTCTGTCTGTGAGAAAGTTGGCGATCCAGTTAATAAGGACAGGATGTATGCCCATATTTATCAATTTTTGAAGTAAGATGTTGAAGTCAATCCGGTCAAATGCTTTTGAGAAGTCCAACGTACAGATTCGAAGACAGGTGCCGGGTGTGTCCATCGCTTCGTACCATTTATGGAACATATATATAATAATGCCATTGTGGAACTTGATCTTTTAAGCGCACCAAATTGGAGGTTATCAATTTGACTGCTAACTGACGGTAAAAGCCAGCTATGAGGGAATGACTCTAAAATCTTGCTTACAATTGGCGTAAGAGAGATCGGTCTAAAATCGGAATCAATATCCAGGGCAGGTGACGATTTTGGCACAGGAGACACATTGGCGGATTTCCACAACAACGGGATGTTTCCTTCTTGGATAGAAGCATTGAAAATGGATGCCAATGGGCGGGATAGGGAGGCAGAGTTCTCACGGAGGAGCCAAGGAGAAATCTCATCTGGACCTGCCGCCGAATGAGATTTTACAGATATTAGTGCTTTCTCAACTTCATCAATGGAGATATAGAAATCTAAAGGAACGTCATCAACTGCAATGGGTGTCCATGAGAATGGGGGAAGGGTGCTTCCTACAGCAACAAACTTGTCGTTAAACAAGTTAGCTAGGGCGGAGCCTGAGTAGGATTGATCATTGTATAAGATAGTGGAAACGTTTTTCGTTGCACCAAGGCCAGCTATGTTTTTTATGTTGGACCACCACTTATGCGGATTTGATTCAAAACAGTCGGCGACATTGCTGTTGTAAAATCTTGAACGAACTCTCTTACAAAGCATATTTACTTTGTTTCTGTAGAGATGGAACATGATATTGTTTCCGCTATTCCAAGCTGGAATAATTAATCTTTTGATCTCAGATGTTACCCAGGGCTTATCGCTACTATCCGATTTTATACGTTTCATTGGAAGGTACTGGTCGACAATGCCATTAACAATGAATGAAAAGTAATGAAACTTATCGTTGCAAGAGTCCATTCTATACAGGGGAGACCAGTTTATACTTGACAAAGCCTCGAAGACTAACTTCCGATTAGGGGAATGCGTGTCTCTGACCATTCGGGTACTCCGGGAGTTCATACATTGCTTCAGCGGTTTTATCAACACTGAGTTATGGTCAGAGAAACCGACAGGTGGGAGAATCTCTGGAACGTTATAAAATTTGGACGCATTTGTAAATATTTTGTCTAAGATGTTGGATCCTCTTGTTGCATGCTTAACAACCTGTTTAAGGGAAAACGAGTTACATAGTTGACTGTGCCTAAATTGGTTAAAATCGCCTGCAATGATGATAGCTGACGCAGGATAGGATGTTAATGCACTGTCGAGGGACTCAATAAGGTGTGTTAACAGGGCCCTATCGTCGCTTTTCGGTGGATGGTAAATTGCGACTAAAATGATAGAATTAATTCCACGTGGTAGTCGACTTGGTTTTATTAGGAGCCATAACGATTCAACTTCGGGATGTGAAAGTTCCTTAAGATGAACCACAGGCATACGATCGTTTACATAAACACAAACACCTCCACCTCTTCTACCATCTCGTCGGTCACGCCTGAATATGGAGAAACATTTAGATTTATCGCTGAATTGCTGACATTAGGAGAAAGCCAAGTTTCCGTAATGACCACAATATCCAAAGAAAGTGAAGAAACAGTTCCAGACCGCTCATCGATTTTATTGACTAATGACCTCGAGTTGGATAGGAACAAGGAGGGTAAGAAGGTATACGAGGCATTGCTGCTTAATTTAATTTTCCGGAGATTACGACGATTACTGAGTATGCCAGAATTATAATTGCGGATAGATCGGTGATCACGTGCAGTAATCCGAACGGGGATCATGGTGGAAGGTACCTTGTGGGAATCTGTAAGGTTTTTAGGAGGACATAAGGGGATATTTGAGGCCCTCGAAATGCAAGGGGTGTTATCATTTTCCGATAAATTATTCAAGTTTTCTCTGGTTTTGTTAATTTCTGTAAACTCATGTTCGAAGGGTTCTATTGGGTAATTGGACTCGGTCAGTTCTGCTTCACATGATGTAAAACTCTTGGGTGGTTCTATACTAGTGTTGATTTGTGAGTCATTTGACTCACAAATTGTAGATAAACTGCCCATTCCATAGATTGTTTTTCCAAGACAATACGCGGGGTTCGATAATTGGCAGGGCTCTTTCGAAAAGGAGCAATTTTACGTCGAGGTTGAGTAAAATCCCTTAGACTTGAGGTTTTAGATTGATATATACCGTGTTTGTGACCATTCGGAATTATTCCTAAAGATTTCCTCGATCTGTTGGATAATAGAGGACTATTTGATTCCAAAGATTCACACGGAGACATAACGTGCTGCGGTAATAATGATGTTTCCTGATTTGAGGTTTTAGATTGATATACACCGTGTCTGTGGCCGTTTAGGATTTTTCCTAAAAGTTTCCTCGATCTGTTAGATAAAAGGGGACTATTTGATTCCAAAGATTGGCACGGAGTCATAACGTGCTGCGGTAATAATGATGTTTCATTTAGGTTATTTACTTGTTTACAATTAAAACCTCGAGTATCACACAGCGGTAATTTATTCAGGAACTCTTTATTGTCATGACATGGTATTTGCAATTCGGGGGTTTGATCATGATTCTTTTTGTTAACATGCAACGAGGGAGTAATAGGCGCTTGGGGTGGAACAATAGGCGATTGTGGAGAGACAATAGGCACTTGGGGTATAACAATAGGTGATTGATTTGAAATAGCATCATAATCCTTTAAACATTTTTCCAATTTCATGTCCAAGGAATTAATTTTGCTTTTAAGTGCCTCAATTTCAGAATTCTTTTCCTTCTCCATTAGACTTATTGTGGGTTCTGATTTCGTACTTTTACTTCCCTCCCCATCAAGCACGGATTCAAGATGCACAATGTTGTCATTACTAAAACATATGGCTTGCGTATTTGCCAGCGATTGTAGAGCATCTATTCTAGTTAATATAATTTCGAAATTGATTTTCATGTTATCAAACTCAGACAACAAGTCAACGCACAAACATTGTTCCCTGTTAGGATCAACAGTTTGGGAAGATTGATCAACATATTTCGGACTCGGCTGTTTATACATATCTTTAACTGCGCTACACGAAACGTTCGAGGTCTGTGTGTGTGGTGAATTAGTCATGCCATCAGTGTCCCGACTATTAAGCACAGGGATATTTTGGACACACACTTTCACACTGTTTTCAAAAGTATTAAACGATGTTGACTTACATACCGTGACCAAAATTTCGTTTACTAAGTCCCCAGTTTTGCCGTGGAATAACAAGGAGTTTAATTTACCGGGATACCATGTACAGGATAAATCCGCAATAGAACTTACAAACTTTTTTGAAGTTCCTCCGGCCGATTTCCATTTGCCTTGTTGTGCAAATACACATTCGATAAATTTCTGTAGTGATTCGTAATCGTTATGCCAGCTGATTCGTTTACCATCATAATCTATATCTTGGGAAACTTTATGTCTATAGATTCCTTGGAAATCACATGTTGATAAACAGATATTTCCATTTAAATTACTGAACTCAGACGAGCAACACACCGCCATGTTGGAATTATGTCAATATAACGTATGCAATACGACGACCTCAAAATGTACCACACTATAGGTTGATGTCAATCCGAAGACGAAGTTCAGAATACTACTGTTTGTGTGTTGGATTTAAGTGATAGATTCAAGATATGATACACGTTTTTGCTGTGATGCTTTGTTATTGCTTTTAGTTTCCATTTCTAGTTTTATTTTGTTCGATAGTACTATAATAATAAAATGAATTTAAAGTTCAAAATGCTGTTGTTGACATTTGCTATTTTTAGTAATTTTGTCAACGAGTGTAAGCCAATCAGAAGCACCCGTTTCTATACGAATGCTACTACCAAGAAAATCTATAGTTCCGTGCAGGCCCTCCTTTCTTCGCGCCACCCGTAACCCAGGAGGGCCTGTTCGCAGGCTAATCAGATTTTAGCTTTGTCAATCTGGCCAATCTGTTATAATGGCTCATTTAAATAATTTCAGGTCATTAAATGTAAAAACAAAGTATTTGAAGTTAATACTGCTGTAAACTGTAGTTTAGTAATACTGTAAGTGTAAACACGTTTCTCGCAGCAATAAATCAATATTGTAAATAATAATCATGTGAGAGTAGAACTTTACTGAGAGTCTGAGTAGTGTATTATAGGCCATAGTCTGGCCATGGTCAATATTTAAACTACAAATTCAGCTAAGGGACCGGTCATTATTTATGGTGGGGGGTGGCACCGAAGATAAAAAGGTTGGGTAAACAAAATTTTGAGTAAGTAAAAGGTTGGGTAAATGAAAAACAAAACGATTCAAAGGTTGGGTAATGAAAATTTATTGTCATTTCAAAAACATGACTCACTGTCAAAATATTGTTGACTGAAAAGCAATGTCAACAGTAATTTGTCAATACAATATGTGAATCAATCAGAGTCACTATCTTGATCATTTTGACAAAACAAATGGTATAAAGTTTGTTCGTTCACTGCAACCAGGTATATCAATCATGTTTCGCTCGCTACTCTGGTTTAAATAAATGATTACAAAGCCCAGTCGAATTGTAATCAAGACCCAACGTTTCGACACTCCAGTCTAGTGTCTTCATCAGGGGTGATCTAAAACTGCGATCGTGGCTTCTTAAATACCCAAGGGATGACGTGATGTCATCACGGCTAAAAGAACATCAAAAGGCTGTTTCAACTTCAGACAAGGGAAAATCAGCTTTAGCCGAACATGTATGTTACACCAAACACGAGATTGCGTGGGAAAACTCTAAAGTAATTACCACAAACAATCGCTATGGTCAAAGACTTTGCCTATAAGCGTGGCATATAAATATGAGTCATCATGCTTTGAATAGGGATGACGGTGCCTATTTGCCAGAGGAATATATGCATCTTCTTGGCAGGTGACGTCATCCCTTGGGTATTTAAGAAGCCACGATCGCAGTTTTAGATCACCCCTGATGAAGACACTAGACTGGAGTGTCGAAACGTTGGGTCTTGATTACAATTCGACTGGGCTTTGTAATCATTTATTTAAACCAGAGTAGCGAGCGAAACATGAAAAACAAATGGTGTTTCCAAAGAAAGTACATGTGCAGACAACATGAAACTTTAGACTGCAGAAAATTTCACAAGCTGTTATCAAACTCGTGTCACAGAAATGAAAGAAAGGACACGTGTGACAACTGAATGGTAACTTTTTGTAACGTTTTTGGCCAGGGGTGGGTAATTATTTTTTAATTGATATTTGAGGTTGGGTAATCCAATTTTTGACTTTTTAATGGTTGGGTCAGCAAAATTTTTGCCACGAAAAACATTTCTCTTCGGTGCCACCCCCTGCCATAAATAATGACCGGTCCCTAACTATATTAACATGCTGTATAAATATAATAGACTTCGAAATATATATTTCCATAGAGCTAGTCAGTGTAACAAATAATTAAAGGCAACCGCATTGCCGCCATTGCAATATTCGCAAGAGTGCACGTGCACGTGTTAACTCATGGGAATCTGCTAATTAATTTGTAAACAATAAAATACTTCTAGACATTTTCAAATTCATACTGTACCTTTTACTTGATGGAAATCATCACAAATAGTACGTACGAGGTTGGCTCCATTGTCCTTCGAAAGTCGAAATATCGCGTCATAGCCTCCTCGGCGATTTATATGATGCGATATAAAAGAAGATTGATGTACATTCGACGTAATATATAAACGTAACATATTAAAAAGAAAGATTACAACAAAAAATAAACGAATATAAATAATCCGCGGCAATTCAAGCTCTATTCGTGAACTTTTCGTCGCCCCGTCTTTATTTCACTAAAGCCCGCTCGCAAGCTAATACTCCAAGAATCTTGGAGTATTTGTCTGACACGTGACCAGCGTTTACCAGGATTATGTCGCTGCCTTCAACTCGCGGCTAGTCCTGGGTACGAGGTTGTTCACCCCCCTGATAATATTCAAAATGGCGGACGTCCAAGGGGGAATGCCTCTTGAGCACACACTGGCTAGGACCTGGCAACGGTTACTCGAGTCGACCTTCTGTGTGTCTTTGTTCTGCCCCAGGGGGTGACTGCTTCTATTTACGATACTTGCCGAGTGATGAATCATGACAAATAGCAATTACTTGGTTTTGATGGCATGCAACATGTACGCACTGCGTACCTATTTTTTAAAAATATAGGAACAGCCTAATTTCGCAGAAAACTCTCATGTTCCATTGGATATTTTCCCACCACTGCCATTCACTAATGGGAAAGATTAGCATAATTAGTCGGTGTTCGAAGAAACCGAGCAGCTCATTCTTTTGTACACAATTTATTTATTACTTACGGACATCAGCGATGTGTCGTTAATTAAGATTCCTTCCTGGATTTGTGCCAAAATTCTCCCCATTGCTCCATAAAATTCATCTGCACTTTCCAGGTCTTCCAATTGTCTATTAAAAAAAGGATTAGAAGAATTTAGAAAAAGCAAAACCGTTGTCACGCCCTGTAAATAAACTCCTTTTAACAATAGCCACGTTTAATATACTACCAGTAAAATGAAGTCAACGTGCCAGTCTCCATTTATTACCCTAACCATCTGCATCATGCCTTCACAGCAAAGAAATTTAGTGTAAAATTTAATGGCAGATTCTACAAAAACCATCCGGAGGAGGGCGCTATGCAAGCTTCGTATAAACGCCCCCAAACACCCAGACACTGATCTAGTGCGGCCTTTACACAATTAGCATTTACATGCAAATACTTTTGGATTTGAAATAAATCCCCCAACTATATATGTACGAGTTAATTACCGCTGATGAGGTTTCTTAGCGTACAACCAGAGGGGCGTGACTAGAAGGGCGTGCTGTCGAAGGATGTATCTCGCTAGGAAACGGAGGTTCGAGGTAACTAATTTTTTGTTCTATCCTTGTATTGAATTAAGAGAATAACGTTTGCAGGTTACCATGGGGTCCATATGAAAACGATATTCAAACCGTTTTATAAATCGTGAATGCGTTTAAACAATAGGGTTTTATTTGGGTAAGAATCTAAAAGCAAATGGAGGGAATTTTATATCTCCATAGGGAAAAGCAGGGTTGGTGAATAGTGAATTCAATTTATAATTAAACATTCACCGGGTTATAATTTTCAATTCTATTCATGACCCCCCTCACTTTTCCCCGTGGAAATATCAAATTCCCTCCCCCTGTTTTATATTCTTACCCAAATAAAACCCTATACAGAACAATAAAAATTTGAACTAATTGTGATTAACGCACACACGGTTGTTTGCAGTTTCAATCCAAATTCACCGATACGTGGCTATTAAGCCTGGTTCACAAATGCCTGGGGTATACCTGAGCTATCATTGTTTACAGCAGTTGATGCATACATTCTTTTGTGAATTATTTGGTTGAACCATTAACGACAATAGCCTGCCGATATACAGCAGGTATATGTGAGCTACAATCTTTGACAATATAGATTGGGACAATCTAGTTTCCACATACATTCGGTTGTAATATACCATTTCACAATTTTTCCATACTCTATCCTCCACTCCCTCCCCACCTGTTTCAATGTTGGCGTCTCGCAACGACACAACATTTAACTGGGGGATTGGGGGTACTACGCCTTTCAAATTATATCAAATTATAGCACCTGTCCCATAGTTTCTGGTAAAGATTGTCTTGGTGGTGACCAATGGTGTTTGGAATTTAGTAATTAAACATTTTAGTTGTAAGTTCATACCACCCAACTCGAGTAGTATTTTAATTGGTGATACTCCATCTAATCTAAATACTTTAACTGCTAGAGTCATGGATATCTTGACTTCTGTTATAAATCAATATGCTCCTATAAAGTTAGCCTCGCGCAGCAAAAATAAGTAGATAACTAAAACCATGGATAACGAATTATATACTTAAATCTATTAAAACGAAACAAAAATGTATTATACGCATTTCTACTCCAACAAGACGCCAGCTCAGGCGTTCACACTGACCTGAAAACGGCAACTTTTGTGGTAGAGTGTAATGTGTAGTAGAGAAGTAAATAGGGACACAGGAGGTCTGAACCATATAAATACAACCAATAAATACAATCATGATCAGCAACTATTAACCATAATATACCAAAACGCCCGCTCAGGCGTACCCTCCAGCTTCGGGCAACTCAACCTGATAAGCCAGTTCCACTGTAACTATGGTCATTAACTATCAACGGTAAATAATGATGGGCCAATAATAGCGAAGAAATTATATAGTCCTTGATTTTTAATGCCATTATATGGCTCGCTTCAGGTGCTAAAAAGTTTATAGACATAGACGATTCTTCTAAAAAATACGTCGATTTGCTTCCATTTATAATTTTATAAGATAAACTGATCCCAACCCCAAGCCCTTCTCTAACCTCAACCAATAAACATCTAATAAACAATTTGAGAATTAAAAAAGAGGGGGGAAAGTTGGATCTTGTTCCGAAAACAAATCGAACCGTACAACGTTTCACTTCGCCGCACGCAACGCCGCCTCGCTGAATAGAATCGAAAAAATACATTTTTACAGTAATATTACCAATATATGATGAAATGGCATGTAATTTGGTGCAAATTAATGTAATTAGGTGCAAATCTATAATTATGCAAATGAACACAAGTGCACAACGCATGTTTATGAGTCTACAACGTATATTTATACTTGTTAATTAAAAAGTCAAACTGTCAAACCTTTAACTTGTCTTTGTTTATATTCCACCGCTAAATTAAAACGAAAAATGTACCACAAGCATGACATGAGCCGGCTATTACGTACATAAATACGAGATTGTTACTATGGCATATAAGTCATGGAACCGAGGAATCAATGGCATTTTGGCTTAATCGTTGCACCCTGAGCCTGCGATGAGCTAATACAAACTCGATTTCTCGACTACGAAAAAAACAGGAAAAAACAGAAAAAGAGGGATTTAAGACACTTCAGCTATTTAGAAAACAAAAGGCATGTACGTTAAAATAGGGCAAACAGAATCTGAGATGCTTACTACAAACTGCGGTGCCCCACAGAGTTCCACCCTAGGGCCACTATTTACATAAATGATATGCATAAATGCTTTACATAAATGATAGGCATAAGTGTTCAAAAAACTCTCTTTCCGCATCTTTGATGGTGACACAAATGTTTTCTACTCCTCAAACGTTTTCAAATGATTTCTACTAATTTTGAAATTGGATAATATATTCAAATTAAGAATTGCTGAGTTTACTTACAAGCTTATAAATATGAAAACAAATGTTCCAAGAGCATTCTCATCCTTTGTTCTACAAGCTGCTAATCAACATACCTATAACACTAGATATGCAACTAAAATGAATCTTGTAAGACCTAAAGTAAGAACTAATTATGGAATTCATACTTTCAAATTAATTTCCTCAAAAAATATGGGAAACTATTGATACTGATATTAAAAAATTATCTATTATATTTAATATATTTAAGTATATATATATATATTTAAGTATATATATATATATTTAAGTATATATATATATATATATATATATATATATATATATATATATATATATATATATATATATATATATATATATATATATATATATATATATATACAGCTAATTCAATAAAGGTTGTCCTTTGAAACCTTAAACTCTAAAACCTTAAACTCTAAGCGTGCAAAGCATAATGGGAGCAAAATTTAAGCAGTTTAGAAAGCATATATGGAGCCCATTTTTTGGAGACATGATAAAAATCTCCCTGCAAAAACATTTCACTGACAAACGGCTTCAATAATCAACAATTAAGCTTGAAATCAGTGCTCCCATCATGCTTTGCGCGCTTAGAGTTTAAGGTTTAAGGTTTCAAGGTTTAATATTTGCAAAGGACAACCTTTATTGAATTAGCTGTATATATATATATATATATATATATATATATATATATATATATATATATATATATATATATATATATATATATAACAATTCAAGTCTTCTTGATATAATATAGAGTGCTCAATACTTTATTGTAGAGCTAAATATATTTAATTATTTAAATAAAGTACAAAACAAACGTTGTTACTCAGAGTTTCATGCCTGAGTTTACAGACAATCTTCGGACAACTTCGAGTTGTCCGAAGATTGTCTGTAAACTCAGGCATGAAACTCTGAGTAACAACGTTTGTTTTGTACTTTATTTAAATAATTAAATATATATATATATATATATATATATATATATATATATATATATATATATATATATATATATATATATATATATATATATATATATATATACATCATTCTGCTTGCGCTGGGTATGGAAATTATATAATACACACTCTAGAACATTTTCATCTTAACATATTACAGAGTGTACAATTACACACTTAACATAACACTTGCAGAACTAGTATTGTTCGATGCTGAATTAATATAAACGAGTATGTTTATGACATTCAGTTATTTGCAGGGCAAGCTGTAAATATATGTAATTCATAATTATTATTATTATTATTAAAAGTTGAAAAGTTGAAGAAGTTGAAAAGTATTACATGAAGTAAACAGATACAACCCAGCATATACACAATTTCCAAAATGATCCTTCAACACCCCTACAATCCATACAACAACCTAAACACCCATATGTACTGTTCATCTTTCTCACTCACTGCGTATAACCAAACACGCAATTTATACAGCTGCATACAGACGCTCTATATAAACGCTATAGTTATACCACATCCATTCGTAGCCCAACGTGTTGGTTTGACAAAAAATATCAGCGAATTTGGTAAGACACTTATACTTTACACTTATTTCACAATAATCATATACATATTTTGCTATTCTTATGTTTATTCACTCTGTAATCCAAATCGGTTTCTGTATTCTATCCTTCTTATACATGTGCCAACCCCAATCCCTGCTGACGAGTCCATGAAGGACGAAACGCCGCGTACAGGGATACTGAATTTTACACACATGACTATCTCCTCTCGCTTTATATATTTTACATGCCTCCATACAAGCTTTTTAGTACAGCGAGATCATACTCCTTGAGTCTGATCAAATTTATTTGCACCACAGGATATTTTACCGTTACAATTTCACACACGCATCTCCAATTTTATGTTCCAAAAGTATACACCTACACTTAGGCCCTGTTTAGACGGCGAACTTTTCATGCGCCGAATCTAATGCAAGGATTAAGTGCGACGCTGGAGCGGCGTCTAAATCAATTAAGTTCGGCAGATTTTGATTAAGTTCGACACGACTCGAAGATGCGACAAGACAAGTCGTATATGCGACACAGGTTCGACATTGATTTAGACGTCGTGCTTTTCATGCGCCGAACCTAATGCATACTTAATTTTTTAACATTACAATATGATTATCATATATTTGCATTGTAAAAATGTCCAATATAGTGTCCTCGCAATTTGGTACGGCACAATTAAGTTCGACGTCTAAATCAGTTTCCAATATTTTGCCGTATCTACGGCAATTAGATTCGGCGCATGAAAAGTTCGCCGTCTAAACCGGGCCTTATATTTCTTAGGTTCACATTTATACATATACAAGTGGGTTTTTTATTTTTTATTCTCAGGTTTATCTAAACAACATTTTTTCACAAGCATACATTGTGCAAACAACACGAGGCCATCACACTATCATCTTTCACACTACATTTTCTAATATTTTAGGGACTATTGTGGCATAAATTTATTACTAGGACACCAATATGGTTCTCATTACCTATATCTAAACTTTAAAAAACTTATAAGTTTTTAGGTCTATTTCTAATATCTATCAGGTAAACACTGTTCATCAGTTCAATTGGAGTACCTATAGTTAAATTATATACAGAACAATTACTAAATACATTCTGTATAATTGTCCTCTAAAAGTTGTTTTTTATTCCCTAGTGTACACTAATAATTATATGTTTCTAATGTTATTCTATATATAACATGTACACAGTGGCGTAGCTAGACCTTCATTTTTTTTCATTTTTTTTTTTTTTGGGGGGGGGGCGAAGCGAACGCCGAAGGCACGAGACCATCTAGGGGGTCCGGGGGCATGCCCCCCCCCGGGAAAATTTTGAAATCTAGAGTACCTGAAATGCGATTTCAAGCATACTGGGGGTAACATCTTGCCGAATTCCGACGATTAAAGAGTACATCGAAGACATAAATTTTCCCAGACATTTCTAATTTTCTACTCGGAATTAAATAAATTGGAAAAGTCACCTTGAAAAACAGGAGGAGTCGGTCAGCGTCACCTTATTTCCCCTCTGTGATGCTGGGGGAAGAAAATCCCAATGTGATTTTGATCAGAAATGTTGCATTTAAATCATTCTAGGTTCTATGAGACAGCATTTCCGCATTCTCAAAATTGCGTTGCTTTTTTATACGATACAGAATAAGTCTGAGAAGAATATTCATGCTATGATAATGCATACATGTAAATCTAAACTAAATCTATTCTTCTTGGAGTCCATATCTACAACTGCTTTAACGAGATTTCACAAATCAAGTTCCTCCAGTATATCGTCGTTTTCCTCAGTCGAGACGTACTTAAAGCGGCAGTGTCACCGGCTGCGCATCCGTTCTGCGCATAGATCAACTTGAAAAAGTTGACCCAACTTTTTCAAGTGTATCGAATTTCAATATGGCGTCTGCCCGGGGCGTCATGCTGACTCAGTACGGGGGTTCAAGGAAAAATGCTGGTCGAAAAAGGAACTTATTGCTACAGCGATAAGAGTTTTTATTGCTTCCCGGAATAATTTATAGTTGAAATTAATTATGCGAAATAAGTTATTTGCGCGCGCAAGTTAATTTAAGTGTAGTCACGTGACTGGAAATTTCGGTATTTATCAGTGGTGAAGCGGGCCATCTTTCCTTTCCTATTCCATATGGGCTGCAGTTCACATCAAGAAATTGGATGGAAGAGAATTATCTTCCGTATCTGGTAAATATCTCTTACTTATGCATAATAATTATAATATATTGGATACCAAGGACATTTCCAATTTGCTTGCGACATATGGATATTTATGGGACTTTACTTACAAACCAGACTGCGGGGTTGGCCATTTCGGGTTCGCAAAAGTTAGAAACTCGAAGTGCGGGTGCGCAAAACAGTTCCCAAGTGTGCATCAAGATGCAGTCAAGGGCACAAAAGTAGCGAGATACATGTTAACAACAATGAAAATTAGAGATTACAGGGCAGGTTAAATTGCGAAAATTGTTATAAAGTGTTAAATTTCTGCCTAAAAAATATCGAGTGCGACGTTGACTAACTCTGCAGTCTGGCTTACAATGACTCACATATTCATGACTTTTAGTCGCAGTCTACAGGGGTAACTACAATACACTCTAAATATGAATAAATGTGAACTTTAGGAATTTATTAGCCAGCCCCTAGTCTTCCGATTTATAAAATGGGAGCTAAATTTTTGGGGTGACATCTACCCTCAGTGTGTAATAGATAGTTTTGCTCACACAGCTACTCGTGGTCGTGATTCTACAAGCGTAGCAGATCAATACTGGGCTCCTTGCGATTTTGGGGCGGCGGCGACGGCCACAACACACTCCTTCAAATAAATGGTAGTAAAAATAATTCGACGCGTATTATCAGTCGCCGGTATAAATTTAATACAGTCTTACATTTAAGACATATTTTATTTTATTTTATTTTATTTTACAATATTTCAGAGGCTCAGAGCGGAACACTCCCTTACGAGTAACCTTAACTATTTATACAGAATACATATAAGTGATAATTATTAACAACACGATTTAACAGAGAGACCAGACAAGGTACGACATGAATGACATTTAACATGGGTTTTATGACTGGGTAGAGTTCGGCTGAACCTGGTTTGAAATTGCACTTGTTGCGGCTTGAAATGCAGCCGTTGCATCAAGACGAAAAATCTCTATTTGGCGTTGTAATTACAGAGCGAAGACAATGTCTAAATTATTCATATATTGCGATTATTCTATTCTCTCAATGATTTATTGTATTGGAGGCCGTTGCTGTCGCGTTGCCGCCCTGGGTCGTAGGGTCTCTAATGCGAAAGCTCAGCGTCTTTGACTTGTGCATGCAAGCGCTGCGTTTAATATAAACGTACTATATGTAGCATATACCTTGCGCTGTTGCATGACTAAAATAAACGTACTATATGTAGCATATACCTTGCGCTGTTGCGTGACTAAAATTTTCCGTGGCTTTTCAGAGCGAGATAATCCCACTTGATAATGACATTAACAGGATATTAAATCCGTACAGCGTCAATTATCGATAAATTATAGCCTACTGCGGACACATTCTGTCCACACCTCGCGATTGCAAATATTTTACAGATGTTAATTTTCCTTTACTATACCTTACGAGGCAGATTATAATCTGGGGGCATGCATGTCTGTGCTCTTCACTATATTTGTATGATATAGTGGGTATTTGTGCTAATTTTATGTTAGGGGTCCGAATTGTATACGTATATGTTACATCATTATGTTTGTACATATGTTATCATGAATATGCTAACTATAGCATTTGCGGGGTTGTTGCTGCTAACTATAGCATATTGATATTGTGCTATTGCTATTCGGGTTTATTAGCTTATTAGCAATATTCCCGTTGTTATCGTTTCATGTTCTTGAAGTCATTTCATGTTTTATGGGCTATAGAGCAACTTGGCTGTTTTCAGATGCCCATACGTTGAGATTTCAACTTTGCCCTTGGGTTTTTTGCTACACAGAACTTTTTCATGAATTTGTGGCATTTATATATACGATCGTTATAACTTATAACGACTTATAACTTCGTATTGTTTTGTGTATATACGTGTCCGAGTTGTGTTTTAAACATGTGTACGTGTGCGTATATATATTCTGCCCTTGCATGTTTTTGTGTCAGATACCCACAGCTGAAATCAATATATTATGGGATGGTGCGGCTGCATGGTTGTTTTCAGATTGCCCGAATATTTATAATTTGCAGCATTGTATAAATGGAATATTCAATTTGCGGCTACCTCCGATGTATGCCATTGTGATTATTCCCCGCTGCTTCGTTTTTTGTATGTTTCTCTGTAAATTTCAAGTTTTATGGGCTAGAGCACTAGCTGTTTTCAGATGCCCACGTTGAGATTTCAACATTGGGTTTTTCCTTCACAGGACGTTTTCATGAATTTCTGGCATTTATATACATATATATGTTCATGTTCTCATTCAGTCTGTTCTGTTTTGTATACGTGGCTGTTACGGCTGTTCTCGTCTAAACTTATGTTGTGTCACTGTGACCGTATATAATTTGCTACTGTTCCTGTGTTAGGAAAAATGCATGTCTACGTGGGATAGAGCGATTATCGTTTTCAGATGCCCACAGTTGAAATCAATATATTGTGGGACGGTGCAGCTAGTTGTTTTCAGATTGCCCGAATATTTATATATTTTGCAGCATTGTATAAATGGAATATTCAATTTGCGGCTACCTCCGATGTATGCCATGATTATTCCGCTGCGTTGTGCGATGTATGCCAACTTCATTTCGTTGTGACGTTTACATATATGTCAATACTTCTAACGTTTTGCAGTATTGTTATAGAATAACAATTAGATTATTCCACTGCTTTTTGTCTTACAGGTTATTTTATTATTGTACAGTATGTTTTTGTTAGGTTTATAGTCCGTTTAGCCGGGTATGTCGATATCAACCGGTCAAGCATAGCTAATGTACATGGTGCAACTCAAATTTTGCTTGTCTGCGTTCTTTAGTCTTTTCTTTCAGAACATCCATGCTACTAGCCCAAGCATCTCAAGGACCTCAAGTACAAATGGTCGCTGAAGAAAACGTCAATCGTCCACCCTTCATGATTGCCAGTACACTGACAGTGAAATGTTATGGCCAACTTGGTACTTCCTATCCTTCAACTATTTTCGTCCGCACCACCCGCGCTGTAATATAGATTTGTGGTTTGTGACTTGGCAGTACGCGGTGGCGCCAAATTACAAAATTTGATACACATTTGCGCTCTTTGCGGCCAAACCACATACTGCGATGCCAGGGGGCCGGTTAAAAGTCATTAGGAAGCCGGAATACGCGACTTTCCTCTTGTTAGCGCACTGTGCCAAAATTTATTACGCGCACGCAATCTCAGAAGCCTACTTCTGGTTATTTTGTGACAATGGGCTTCCAATCTCTTGACAACTTAGACAGTCTTCATGTAAGGCAATATATCCGATTGCAAAATTTTAATTTTCATCCTCTCGATTCTCCAGTAATGGCGCCCCAACCGCTGTCAAGTCTCGACCAACACCAGTCACAATAAATCAATTAATTTATTAATGCATTTACTGGGTGGACATGATGCGAAATGGATTGTTTATTCATATGAAGGTTTTACATTTGCGAATATCGTTTTATGCAAATTATAATCTTTTATCTGCTGAACAAAACCATGAAATTGTGAACACTATATATTAAATACCTAGGGGAATAGCTGCGTGTTCGCCTTTGGGTATTGTTCATACTAAACAAGCGCTGGAATACATGATTTATTTTCTCTAAATTCTATTGTTAGTTTTGGTAGTCATTGCGATAAACTACGTTCGTGTTGATGTCATACATTCGACATGTTTAATTATACTTTAATATACGGCTTCAGAAACGGTTAGTTGCTAAAACACAGCTAAATATTTCGCATCATGACTTCCCGGCTTGGCAGCTTCGCAATTATCACCGATGCCGCATTCATCTTGCTGATTTCTTATCTCTTTGCAAATATTGGGGAGTGCCAATCCGTGAGCTCTCATTCGCAAGAATTGAATTAGACGCTATATGCATGACAGCGCTATTTATTACCTGAGGATCAGACTGCGGAATTTAAATTAAGTCACTTGCGTAAAAAGGTAATTCAATGCTCGATTGCCTTGCTTAATTAATTTAGTTTTGTAGGTGGTCGTGCCACGTCATGCTTTGTTACGATGGCTTGTTGATCTTACAAAAGGCATCCGATCGGCCCAGCATAGTCGCTATATCCTATCACACTCGGCAATTTGCGAGGCGGTGGTAATTCAGCGTATAACGTTCTTAACAGATGATGCTGCATTGGTTGATATTATAATAAGGCTATTCGGTTCCATTTTGGAATTCGGCTGTTATGATATTTGTACGTAAACTGGTGCTTGCTTGTTTTTAATTAATAGCATTAAGTATATCTTTATTTCGTACTCGGCACATATCTGGATTAAAAAGTGTTTCAGGGAATCCTTTATCTCGGACACAGGTTGCTACGTTGAGACAGCTCGCATCGGCCAACGTTCATTCATCACCAACAGTCATTCCGGACTATTATATATATAACCTCAGTTCACGTTTCTAAATTTAATTTACCCAGTTTGTTACTAACGGTGTGTACAACAAATGTTTTGTTTTTCGCAAACGTCATTGCCGGCTGGATGTTGAACTGGCACAAGGTTCACATTTTAGCAGATGCATGTTTATTTCGCCCGAAACTGGTGATTGCCTAGGTATTTTAATTATCTTACTTATTCATCATCGCTGGATGTTGAAAAGACACAAGGGTAAGGTTCACATTTCAGCTGATGATATTTATTTCGCTAGAAACTCGTATAATACGGTATTTTATCGCCTCGGGAGACACTTATTGGTCATCGGTTGGATATTGAACTGACACATGGGTAAGGTTCACATTTCAGCTGATCATCAGTTTATTCCAGTGGAGGCTTGTATAGTAAACTAGGTAATTGATAGCACTGTTATTATCTAGACCAGTGCAAGTTCATTGCTTTTGACTGACAATAGCATATGCAGTCAAACTGACATAGATTGAGGTTTTCGTAACATGTGGTATCAATATATACGTAGATATTTTTCATGATCATCTGCAAACGGTTTGCCAGGTTGGGGTGGGGTGTGTCTCCTTTATCCCAAGGAGACTTGTGGCGTTAGTAATGCCCCCACCTTTTCTGTGCTAAATGTTATATAGTTATTAATTAATAATTTTTCTTGTTAATTATTAAAAATCGATTAAAATAATAAACCGGCTATGTGCCAACAACCGGGCACATAAGCCATAATTATGCCATAAAGGCTTTGACTGGTTTGGTAGTATTCGGAAGCACAGAAAACCGAGCTCAACCTGACAAACAGTTTGCCGATGGTGGTTTAATCTATGCAGGGAAGCGATAAAGAATCTTATTGCCACAGCGATAAGAGTTCTTATTGCTTCCCGGAATAATTTATAGTTGAAATTAATTATGCGAAATAAGTTATTTGCGCGCGCAAGTTAATTTAAGTGTAGTCACGTGATTGGAAATTTTGGTATTTATCAGTGGTGAAGCGGGCCATCTTTCCTTTCCTATTCCATATGGGCTGCAGTTCACATCAAGAAATTGGATGGAAGAGAATTACCCACCCTCCTCCCCGTTGTTGGACGCGATATCTTGAACTTAAATAGATACTTTATGTGTAGTGGGCGTTAGTAATGCCCCCACCTTTTCTGTGCTAAATGTTATATAGTTATCAATTAATAATTTTTCTTGTTAATTATTATAAATCGATTAAAATAATAAACCGGCTATGTGCCGACAACCGGGCACATAAGCCATAATTATGCCATAAAGGCTTTGACTGGTTTTGTAGTATTCGGCAGCACAGAAAACCGAGCTCAGCCTGACAAACAGTTTGCCGATGGTGGTTTAATATATGCAGGGAAGCGATAAATATATATATATTTATACCGGGTGTCCCAAAAAAAAGTACTCCTGTTTGATTCGTAATAACTTCTAAACAAGTAAAGCTTTTTTAGAGAAATAACTTGCATTAAATAGAGGAAGGCCTAACTTAGATTTTGATATATTACAGTTGTATTTCACTTAAAAATTCACGGAGATATTAATCTTTAAAATCGGGAGCATATTTCTGGATGTGTCTGAAATATGCAAAAAACGGCGTATCAAATTTTAATCAAGATTTGCCCGACTGAAACATGCACTATTACCAGTAAATAAACGACACTTGACAAATTGTTTATTATGAAACAAAGTATTATTATCATAGTATCACAAAATACAAGCAAGATTCAGTATTCGTCCGAAATTCGCGTGTGTTCCTAGCACGAATACGTTTCCTTATTTCATGAGACCACTGCATCGCGAAGGATCGTCATGGATCGTTCGTAGTTCTGAATTAGGGCATGCTGTCACAATGGAATTGTGAAGCAATTCTAACTTCTGCAACGTTCTGAAATCTTGTTAAGAACACCCAAACTCTTTTGTCGTTTCTTAATCTTGGCAAGTTCAGAGTAAACTGAGAATTATATGAAACACAATCAAACCATATAACTCAATAAGACATAACAATTAAGCAACTCCCTAGAGACATGCAACATTTTTGGAACAAAACCTAACAAAATAGTAGCATTGATACGGTGAATGTGTATTTGCAAAAAGCAATATTATTTCCTTCAATAAAGAATAATATTCATCCTGCTCTCACCGAGAAGTAATCAACTCAGTCTGTTTGAACCCACTAAAAACATAAGAAAATTAGGCTATTTAAGAAAAATTTAAGCGCCTGCCTTCCATGGTCTTTCATGTACTTTTAAGTTTGTAATGACCTAATATTAAATACTTGCATAATTTCGAACGTTCATATTTCAGAAAACATTGAGCTAAGACTTACATGTAAGATGTCTAAATCTACGCCATATCCCTTACAAACCCTAACGACAATTCGCTGAAATACAAGTTAGCCTGATATGTCATTAACAAACAAACACTGGAGTTAATATTTGATATGCCGATTTTTGCTAATTTTAGACACATCCCAAAAGATGCTTCCAATTTTGAACATTAATATCTCTGTGGATTTTTAAGTAAAATGCAACTGTAATATGTCAAAATCTAAGTTAGACCTTCCTCTACTTAATGCAAGTTATTTCTCTTTAAAAGCTTTACTTGTTTAGAAGTTATTACGAAACAAACAGGAGTACTTTTTTTTGGGACACCCGGTATATATATATATATATATATATATATATATATATATATATATATATATATATATATATATATATATATATATATATATACATATATATATTATGCTTCTAAATTAAACTGTCATCAACTTTGAAGATTTAATCGAATAAAATGAGAACCATATAGTGTAAAAATACATTAATAATTCACTGAGGAAAAACGAAGGAAATCGCTGCCGTATCGGTGGTTTTATATGTGATAACAAGTTATGTTCATTTTTATAACCTTTAGCTTGGCTTTTCTCGGCTTAGACAACGTTTATTTTTAAAATGAACGCCAATTAACTACTCAGATGGGGTGTTTTTTCAGCCATTTAAAACATTTGCAGTCCGTGCTTTATCAGACATAAAACACGAGATGTGCAGCTCATAAAAGAACTCTTAGCTACTCGTGTTTTAAATAGTACATACTTAATATAAATGTTCAAATAAATAAGATAATAACCCAACCAGAAACAGAATATTCAGTTTAGCCTAACACCCGATCTACAGACTCTTGCAGCGAAATCCACACAGAGACGTGCATTAATTAACAGAATTGAAACAATAGAATGCAGCCTGCATGTATAGCAAGACAGTAGAGTAAATTTGAAAGGTCGAAACAATCTTCCAGTCACTCAGATGTGCACTCAGGCTAGTCATACTTGGAGAACTGCCAAACAGTTATGAATTAACGGAAAGCGTTAATCAAACCGTTTATCTGCGTGGTTAAATACTATATCGTGTACTCCTATTTTATACAAATTATGAAAATAAGGATTTATTTACTTGAAGTTAAGGGCCTTAAACGTCAAGGTAAAACAGGAGTTGGATGTTAGAGGATTAATAGGGAATTAAGTTTGACTTAAAGATCCACCAACTCAAACTAACATAAAAAACCACCCCCTTAACTGATTGACATCCAAAGACCCACCACCTCAAACTGGCATCCAAAAACCCACCCTCTTGAATTAACATCCAAAGACCAACCACCCCAAGCTGACATCCAAAGACCCAACACCTCAAACTGACATCCAAAGACCCACCCCCTCAAACTGACATCCAAAGTCCTGTTCCCCTCAACTGGCATCCAGGGACCCACTCCCTCAAACTAACATCCAAAGAATCGCGCGCCGCCTCATATAAATTTACCTCCGGGAGGTGGAGCTGATTGAACGATATTTCCTGTCCCAACAATATGAGCTGATTCATTATACTAAAAACATTAAGAAATAGAGATATTATTATTGCTGGCGCATTGTTGGGGACGTTAAGTTAGATTTTTAAGAAAAAATATTTCACAAACTTGTTAGTATGCTTTAACAGTCACAAAAGATGACAATGCGACATCGATATTAATCACCTTTGAACATTTTAGAGGCTTCGGTGGCTTAGTGGTTAGCGCACTTGCCTTTTACCTCTGAGGCTGCAGGTTCGAGTCTCACTAAGTACATTCTCAATGCGACTCGAACCCAGTCCCCATGTGAAAAGAGTAAAAGTCAACGCTCTGCCGAAAGCCGTGGGTTTTCCCCGGGTACTCCGGTTTCCTCCCACAGGGAAAGTTGACAGGGTGGGTTAGGTAAAAAGGGCCCACAGTAATTGGCATATGCTGTTGTGGTGACCCTGCCCTAGTTGGCAAAGCTAAATAAATAAATAAATAATGGATTATACTACAATCCTGGAAAAATACTGTGGACAGCACGGGCGCGGAAATTGACTTGCGCAATTATCATATACGTGCAAAAACAGCAATTTTTAACTCCCACCTCCCCCGGTTCAATGTTGACAGCTTATAAAGTGGTTAGGTGAAAGCTTTGTGAAATGCCTGTAAAAACAATATTGTATAGGGGGAGACAAAGTCGACATATGTAAGCGAACAGTAGTATTTTACGTCTCCAGGGAACTTTTGCCATGATTGTGGCTATAAATGCTGACGGATAAAAGGCATGTTTCCATACACTAAAAACTACAGTTTGTTAGATTTATCCAAATCCGCAAGATTCTCGTATTTGAATTATTTTACTAGTCATCACTCTGGTAACTAACCATTAACGTTTGTCCTGCCTGTCCTCTGTTACCTGAAACAAACAATTCAGCACAATGTGATAACTGAATGAAAAATATGTTGTTATACATTATTATATTGATGCGCACATTATAAAATTGTACAATGTGCATTCCGTAGATTTAAACATTCTTAACAATCGCTGTTGATCACTTTTCACTTCATACCGTAAATGATGTGATAAACGCCTTTGACGACTTTATTACTGAGATGTTTATTTTTTAACTCCATTTTAACATTCAGTATTTAACAAACCAATAACTCTTGCCGGTTTATATGTTTAATTATAATAATATATGTTTAATTATGTACGTATATAATAAATGACCCTGTAGGGGGGGG